AACAAAACACACTTCGCTGCGAGAGCGCTGAGCGGGATGAGGAGCAAGCGTGACGAGAGGCTTGTGACGTACGACACTTGGATGAGTGAAGAGGAGCATGGCTCATCGTAAAGCTCCCTCGCTGAATCACGATACTCCCTCGCAACGAGGTAGATGTCACCGCCAAAAGAAAGAATGTTGTCAACTTTGTACACGTCCCGGTTATGCCCCAGGACACAGTCGTCGGGTCGGGACACCGTGACGATTCCAAGTTTGCATTGTACTTTCGAATACTGCGCACAACCTGCACAGCCCTGCACAAGTGGCCCATTCTCGTGGGCGCCGTGGAGCTCCACCTTTACAGGTTCGCGTGCATGTTCTGCTGCATTGGCTTTCTCGCACAGCCTCCTCCAGAGCTGTGCAAGAGGTCTGTTACCTGACCTCAGCATGCGTTTTAGCATGCCGAGGTGGTTCTCAAAGGGAAAGCTACTGAAGGACTCCAGTGCTCCCAGCCTTCGGACGTCGTTGGCAAGGTGTGTTAGTGCATGAACATTGTACACTAAAGCTTCCTCACCATACAGACGCCCTGTTTCCTTGACAAAATACTCCAACAGTGACTCGGCATACGTGATCATTTGTGCAGGGCTGCTGTCACAAGTGAGGATCCGAATGGCGACATGCAAGCACATGTAGTGCACATAAATGTGCGCAGGCAGCACAGACTTTAGCACAACAGGTGCTGCATACAGGAGAAAGTACCTGCATTCGGTGGCTTTCCAATGCCCGCGCTCCCGCATGACGCGAGGATGCCTGGAAAACTCCCTTGGCATGGAAGACTTCACGGCGTTGAGGTTGTCTGAGAGTTCCGCAACCTTGGCAGAGGGCAGGCGGACACACCTGGGACCCTTCTGTGTCCAATAGCACAGCAGCTTCCTCACTACGCCCAGATAGACGCAGTGCATGGGGTCCACAGGGAACTGGGACACCATCCCGAGGCCCTCCAGTTCCATGAAGGGTGAAGCACCGTTGTGATGTTCTGGCTGTTCCACATCTCGAAAGGAGGCATCAGTCCGAAGTGGAGCGTCGACTTTGGGGTAGATCATCCTCCCTCTCCAGGAGCCTCTCTGAGTGCACTTATCGCACCCGAAATAGCCGTTGTGGGCCTTCACATTCTTCGTAAAGCTCCTTGCCGGCGCATCGCACACCACTGAATGCAGGAGAACAGAAATGGTTGCCCCGCTGCATTGTACACCTGCTTGGAGCAGTTCCTTCAGTTCAGAAATTGCATTCTGAAGAAAGGCATTGATATCAGCAGGCTTGTTGAGGCCGCAGTAAATGCCGATCGGGAATGGCGCTGTGTCATTTGTGTCCAATGACATGCAGAGAATTGGCCAAACGTGCATGGATGAGCCAGAGAAGAGAGGCAGGCCGTCGATGTTGATGCTGAGGTGCATAACAGACGAGTCTTTGCCGTCAGCAAATCCAGAGCGCAGGCATCTCTGGATCCCTTCTGTGCATCCGATGTGGATGTACTCACCCGAGCCACACTGGTGGATTTCTGTGGCTCTGGGAGTGTGCAGAAGTGTCCGGGCGTCAGTGGGTAGCCCTGGAAGTTTGGGCGCCAAAAACACGAGGAGGTCGTTCAGGGCGACGTGTTTGATCGCATGGTTGACTGCCCATACTCTCAGGCGCTCCCGATCAGATGGCTCTGTGCTCGGGCCTCCGTCGCTTGGCAGTGCGCCCTGCGCGGAGGTTGAAGCGGTGGGTATCGATGCGGCGAAGGTTGAACCGGCGGGTGTCGATGCGGCGGAGGTTGAACCGGCGGCGGGTGTCGATGCGGCGGAGGTTGAACCGGCGGCGGGTGTCGATGCGGCGGAGGTTGAAGTGGCGGGGGTCATCTCGACGTGCCCGTCCGGCGGAGCTGCTGATGAAGAGTCTCCCACAGGCTCTCCTGGCTCCTGTGGAATCCAGGAGGCGCCAGAGCAGGCAGCTTTTCCGCTCCCCGACGTGGTGGCTTTGGGCGACCCGCCGTGGCCGGGAGAGCGCTGGGAGGGAGGGTTGATGATCCCTTGGTCTTCTTCCATAGGCTCTTCGACTGATGTGGAGTGGTCGGTAACCTGTTGCATCCGAACGCTCGCTATTTGCTCGGACGCAAGCTTCCTCGCCCTGCGTCGTTGCCGCCTCTTTCGATTCCTTTCCCGGTTCGAGGGAACCCCGCGATCCATAGCGTCGGAATTTGGCAGTTGGGCGCTGATCCAGTCGCAGTGCTCAACGACGAAAAGTGAAGCTGAAAACGCGGGTAGTGGACGACTCGCCAACGGGGACGGCTGTTTGGATATGGCGGGTTGAGCTGCTAACAGACGACACCTCCTAAAAGGGCGGGAAATATATGTTTGCTTCTCACCGAAAGCTTCTGCACCGTCGCGCCTCATTTTCTTTCGGTTCCTCAATAAATAAGTAATAAATATTTTATTGTTTCTTTTCTTAACACAGTACATACACTATTTATTCCGAAGTAATTAACACATTACTTCGGAATACATTTTTTTTTATCTATATATTTTCTCAAAAACTTTCATAATTCGAAAGACTGTAAAATATTTATATATTTTTGTAATGATTAAATTAACATTCCTCAAACAAATAAATTCGATAATAGGTACCTCAATTGCCTGTGTTCCAAATCTTACCTAAATAGATTCGAGTTACTCCGGCGGATCGTGTCACGTGACAGCACAGATTGAAAAACTGGACGCGGGTAGGTTTTAGAACGCCAAGGGTACAAAACCCTTACCCTGGAGTAAGATCGAGTAAATTTTGGAACACGGCCTATATTAATGTTATTTCGTCGGTTTTATGACGAAGCAAGGTCGTTGGATGAAGCCAATCCGAAAATCAGCCGTTGGAAGTGCAAATTGCTACATCGTCTGCTAAACACCGAGGTCAGCGTTCGGCATTCTTTACAACTCTCCGCTGCGCTCGTCTAAGGATCGCCACTGGTGAGTGCCATTTAGTAACTCAAAGATGATGTACCAGGCGCTAATGTACTAAAACTGAAATGGGCTAGTTGGACCAACGCAAAAGCGCAAAAAACACTGACAAGGAAGAAAACACGGACGAGGAAGAGGCGTATACAACATAGCGCCAGTACGCGTCTCTTCCTCGTCCGTTTTTCTTATTATTACTACTACTACTAATATTATTAGTAGTAGTAGTAGTGAGTCTAAAGGGTGGACATGTGTTGTAACTTTATCCAATTATACTTCAATCACAAGTTACAAAAAAAAACAATCCAATGTCTCGAGAGAAAGTTAAGCCTTTTTCATATCAAAGCTTTTTGTTGCTCTGGAAAAAAGAGAAAGGGGGGGGGGGGGGGGGGGGGGGGGGGCGGCGGCACCACAGAGACGTTTTATTTAAAATCACATTATGCACATAATTAGTCCTGGCCTGCTATCGATCCCTACTTTGTTTATTGATATGTCCAAGTGGCCCTCAAGATCGTTTATTTTGCTTGTGCTTGAAAAAGGCTTAACTCTACCGTGAGGTTAACGTATCGCGCTGCAGTTTAGTACAGAGATGCAAACAAAAGGTGGAGTTCTGTTTTTTTTTTTTTTTTTTTTTTTTTTTTTTTGTAAAAAAAAGTTAGGCTGTGAATTTTTCTTGTTAAAAAGAAAAACCTCTGCTAGGCAATCTGCGGCGTCGTTTCGCAGACGGAGACTCGCTTTTTAGGGACGCTGCCGTGAGATTGCGGAACCTGGGGCACAGGATGCCGCGGATATTTTACACATTTCGTAGATTTCGTAGATTTTTCGTGTGCGTAAACTAAAACTACGCTCGCATCAATTCGTCGTTTACTTTTTTTCTTTTTTTTTTTTTTTCGGCAGCGGCGTTGAGCACGGCCGCGTGTCTTCAAGGTACCGCACGCATTGAATCACGTACGCAGTAAAGTCCCGTAGGCCCCCGATCCCGTTTTTTTAATCGCATCAACCGCGCGATATGAGAAGCGTGCTCGCCGCGAGTTCCCTCGTGCTTACCGCACCCTGACACGCGAATCTGCAGCGTGCACAATCTGCGGGTTATTCGTTCCCGTGACCTCCCAATTTCTAACTCGTACCCTTTCGCGGTTTTTTTTTTTTTTTAATGCGAAAGCATTAACTGGTCTCATGGAACGAGCTGACGTCATCAGTTGGAAGCGCGAAAACGGCAGGTAGTTTCCGCGCGCCTTCGGTTCCATTGGCTGGCGCGCGTCGACGGGGCTCCCGTCGGCCGCTGCGTCATGGCCTTCGAGATCCGAAGCGCGCGCGCGCGCTAGTACGCAGCAGACGACAAAAGGAGCGGACAAACAGACGACAAAAAAAGAAAACGGACGAGCGGCTTGCATGCATTCGCATTCACAACTCATGAAAGATGCTTACATGTACCTCAAGCTTTTTTTTTTTTCTTTCTTCCTCTCACCTTTTTTTTTTTCTTTCTTCCTTTCATTTTTTTTTTTTTTTTTTTTTTTTTGTAGTGGCGTTATTAACTTTGGCTGTGTTACATTGTCCCGGCCTGAGGCGGCCTTCCACGAAATTCGCGGGGTATGGGGACTGAGACCCAGCTTCCGCTGAAATGAAGCAATGTTGTCTTTGGGGGAGGATGGAGGGAAGAGCGGGCCAGTTCTGGGGTTTCAGTGTGAGCGGGGAAACTCAACAGAGGGAGAATCATAGCCTCAAGTCAGTGGAGCGCAACAGTAGTGGGCCAGGTCTGCACTGGGGAAGACTTCGGCGACAGAGTGTGTGTGTGTGATTGTGTGGCCACTCCAAGCCACCCAACCCACCGTGGTACCACCGGGACAGTTCCTTCCCCCTTCGGACAGCGCCTCGCAAGACCGTCACTCCCGGACACTGTGAGACGAGATTTCCCCTCCACTCAAATTTTCTTTTATATTGTAAATAAGGTAGCAGTATTTCTGTAATTGTGGTGTCCAGAGGGCACTACGAGCGCGGGGGCGGTAGCCGGGCAAAAGAAAACCTGGTGCGTATGGGACTTCTGAGTTGTACTCGGCACGAGCGGTGCTGGAGGGTGGCAGTTGAATAAAGGTCTTCAAAAACGCAACAACTGGCGACGAGCGTCCAGCCACGCGAGCCCCGTCGAAGAGTCGCCCGCCGCACTACTCTCCGGTGACGCCGCGACGCCATGGCGACCCTCGGTCGAATTGAACCGTTCGACGAAGCGGGCACGGACTGGCCAACCTACATCGAGCGACTCGACCAGTTTTTCGTCGCAAACGACGTCAAACCAGAAAGGCAAGTGGCAGCGTTCCTAAGCCTCATTGGCGCGAAGACGTACGCTCTGCTAAAGAGTTTGGTGGCGCCGGACATCCCGGCTAGCAAGTCGTACATCGAGCTGGTAGCCATATTGCGAGAGCACCTGTCGCCGAAGCCTCTTGTCATCGCGGAACGCTTCCGTTTTCACAAAAGAAACCAAAACGAGAATGAAAGTATCCTCGAGTTCGTAGCCGAGCTGAAAAAGTTGGCGCAGACATGTGAATTCGGCGGCACTTTGAACGAAGCCTTACGTGACCGCATGGTATGCGGCATTATCAGCGACTCCATTCAAAAGCGACTGTTGTCGGAAGCTGGCCTGACGTTTAAGAAGGCGCTAGAAATCGCAGTGGCGATGGAAGCCGCCTCCGCGAACGCACAAGTTTTACATTGCCGGAGCGCGGACGCCGAGGTGCTTAAGGTGGACCAAAACAAGTCCGAATGCAAGCACTGCGGACTTACGAATCACACAGCAATTAACTGCAGGTGGAAAGGCTTAGACTGTCGTAGGTGCGGAAGACGCGGACACCTTGAAAGAGTGTGCAGGAGCCAGCAGTCCGGGCCAGCAGCTTCTCAGCATCGCGGAGCACCGACACGAGGCCGGAGGAATCAAGGGGAAAAAGTTAAGACGCTGAACGTCGACACGGAAGACGAGGTCGAGATGTTCGAGCTTCGGGGGACACGTCCGCGGCCTCTGCAAGTAACAGTGAAGGTGAACACGATTCCGCTGACGATGGAAGTAGACACCGGGGCGGCGGTGTCGGTACTCCCGTTAGACCTGTACAAGACAAGGTTTCCCAATCTAGTGAAGGGAAGAAGTGGAGTCGTCCTTCGAGCATTTACCGGTAAAAAGGTGAAGCCGGTAGGAGAGGCACAGGTTGAAGTGGAGTACCAAGACCAGGTTCACAAGTTACCGCTGCAGATTGTGGACTTCAAGGGTCCCCCGCTTTTGGGACGTGACTGGCTGGAGGTGCTGAGGCTCGACTGGACAAGCATCAAGGCTGTCCAGTGCTTGGAGAAGGGGAGCAAGGAACAAGTCGACACGCTTTTGAAGGACTTTGCTCAGGTGTTCTCAGACGATCTGGGCCGTCTTCAGGGGTTTGAAGCTCACCTCAAGCTGAAGAGTGGGCACACTCCAAAGTTCCTCAAGCCAAGACCAGTGCCCCACGCCCTGAAGGAAGCTGTCTCTAAAGAACTGATGGCACTGAAGGAGGCGGGGATCCTGACCCCGGTGGACAGCAGCGAGTTTGCATCGCCCATCGTGCCGGTCGTCAAAAAGAATGGAGACATAAGAATCTGCGGCGACTACAAGTCAACAATCAACCCGTGCTTGGAGGTCGACAACTATCCGCTCCCCAGGATAGAAGAGATGTTTGCAACGCTGGCAGGAGGGAAGTTTTTCTCAAAGCTGGACCTGTCAAAAGCCTACCTACAGCTGGAGATGCATCCTGCAGCGCGGAAGTACCTCACCATCAACACCCAGTTGGGGCTGTTCCAAGTGAACCGTCTTCCCTTCGGCATAGCATCTGCACCCTCCATTTTTCAAAGAACTATGGATCAAGTGCTTCAAGGGCTGCCGCAGACCACCTGCTACCTGGACGACATCCTGGTGACTGGCAGAACGAAGGGTGAGCATTTTGAAAACTTGAAAGCAGTCTTAACACGGTTACAAGAAAAGGGAATGCGTCTTCAGAAAGAGAAGTGCAAATTCTTCCAAACGGAAGTTGCCTACCTCGGTCATGTGATTAGTCGGGATGGTCTACGAACCATGGAGGATAAAGCAGCAGCACTTCGAGATGCACCCACTCCCAAGAACAAGGCAGAGTTGCGTTCATTCCTTGGGCTTGCTAACTACTATGGCAAATTTCTACCGAACTTAGCAACTACCGTGTATCCTCTGAATCGTCTACTGCAGAAGAAGGCTGCATGGGAATGGAGCACAGACTGTCAGGACTCCTTTGATTCGCTTAAGAAGCTGGTGACGTCGGCACCTGTCCTGACATATTTTGACCCGCGTCGACCCATTATACTGGCATGCGATGCATCGGCGTATGGAGTAGGGGCAGTCCTGTCCCATGCGTTTGAAGATGGAACAGAGCGGCCAGTTGCGTTTGCTTCTAGGACCCTGACTGAGCACGAGAAGAATTATTCTCAGTTAGAAAAAGAAGGCCTAGCTATCATCTTTGGAATAAGAAGATTCCACTACTATTTGTATGGCTATCACTTCACACTGATCACTGACCACGCTCCCTTACAGAAAATCCTAGGCCCAACGACCGGGATCCCTACAATGACAGCAGCGAGGCTCCAGAGGTGGGCCTGTCAGCTAGCCGCACACCGCTACACAATCGTCCACCGGTCTTCCGAGGAAAATGCCAATGCAGACTGCTTGTCAAGACTCCCAAAAGCAACGGACAACCCCAACACAGACGCCGTCGACGAAACGTTCGCCTTCTACTGTGAGTACTTTGACAAGGTACCTCTTAGATGTAAAGACATTGCACGGGCGACGTCCAGAGACCCCCTTCTAAGTCAGATCGTGGAAAGAGTAAAGCATGGTTGGGGCCCAGAACGCAAGCCAACCGATCCAGAGTATGCACCCTTCCACGTACGCCGAAATGAGCTGTCACTCCACCAAGGATGCCTCATGTGGGGTTTACGAGTGGTGATTCCGAAGACCCTGCAGAAAAGGGTCCTAGACGAACTTCATGGGGACCATTATGGCATCGTGCGCACTAAGGAAATGGCTAGGAGCTATGTTTGGTGGGCATCCCTGGATAAAGACATTGAGAGGGAAATTGGAGGGTGTACCATGTGTCAGCGGCACCGAAACAATCCGTCCGCTGCTCCCCTGCACCCTTGGGCATGGCCGACACGTCCATGGGAGAGACTGCATGTGGATCTGGCGGGACCTTTCATGGGTAAAATGTTCCTCGTGCTCGTGGATGCTCACTCCAAATGGCCAGAGGTGTTTGTCTTGGAGTCTACGACGTCAAAGGTCATAATCGAGTGTGTACAAGATTGCTTCGCACGGTTTGGTCTGCCCACAACCATGGTTTCTGACAATGGGCCTCAGTTTGTGTCGGAGGAATTTCAAACTTTCTTAAGGAACAATGGTATCGCCCAGGTCACGTCTGCACCATACCATCCCGCTACGAATGGACTAGCTGAGCGGTTTATTCAGACCATGAAAAACTATCTGCGGAAAACAACTTCGAGCCATCCCCTCCGTACAAGGTTGTCACGTTTTCTTCTATCGTACAGGAACACCCGGCACCCGACAACAAGAGAGTCTCCGGCCCAGTTGATGCTACAGCGGCATCTTCGCACCAGACTGGACCTCCTGAAACCATCAGTTGCAGACTGTGTGGCCAGCGCACACTACCGCCAACAGCGGCAACACCCAGGACAAGAGCGGGCTTTCACTGCAGGAGACCAAGTCTATGCCAGAGATTATCGAAGTGGTCACAAGTGGCAGCCAGGAACAGTCGCTGCCCAAACTGGTCCAGTGTCTTTCCAAGTGCAAGTCTCCCCGGGACGGGTGTGGCGAAGGCATCAGGACCAGTTGCTCCGAGCACCGTCGCAAGACTCCGGACCTTCAGAGTCTCGTCCAGACGAAGCGGGAGGGGTGTCTGCCACGGCTTGGACAGACAGCACACCGGAAGACAGCGCAGGCGACAGGCGCCTTCCACAGGCCTCTTTGCCTGCACCATCCGAAGTCCCGAGGCCAAGAAGTAACACCCAGGATGCTGAGACGCTCATGGATGCAGATAATAGTGACGGAGAGCGACGGTATCCCGTGCGAGATCGGCGCAAGCCTCAAAGGCTAATAGAAGAATGAAAAAAAAAAAAAAAAAAAGCGACGGACTTTTCTAAACTATTTACTGTTAATGGCCGGATGTTACCAGCTGGGTATGTTTGTTTAAAAAGGAGGGGAAAGATGTGGTGTCCAGAGGGCACTACGAGCGCGGGGGCGGTAGCCGGGCAAAAGAAAACCTGGTGCGTATGGGACTTCTGAGTTGTACTCGGCACGAGCGGTGCTGGAGGGTGGCAGTTGAATAAAGGTCTTCAAAAACGCAACAGTAATCGATTTTTATTCTCACGGGTGTCTGATTTTATTATTTTTGATAACATTTAGGCTCCCAAGTTATTATTTTTATGTTCGGGGAAGCTCTCATGTTAGAGATGTTTAATGCAATGTACTAAGCTGTACAATTTAGTTTTTTAGCAATTCATAGTTTTTTACTAATTCATAGTTGTTTCTTTTTTTGCCACCTGTGCACTCACCGGTCGAAATGTGTACAAGTCCTGTTGTTTTCGCAAATCGGCATTTGTTAACCGTTTTCTTTTTTTCCCGTGATATTGTTTTTTTTTTGTTTTTTTTTTTTTGTATTGGCATTGCCAAATTCGGCTGTGTTACATTATTCCTTGTCCCAGTCTGACGCGGCCTTCCACGAAATTTGGGGGTATGGGGACTGGGACCCAGCTTCCGCTGAAATGAAGCAATGTTGTCTTTGGGGGAGGATGGAGGGAAGTTTCAGTGCAAGTGGGAAACTCAACAGAGGGAGAATCATAGCTTCAAGTCTGTGGAGCGCAACAGTAGTGGGCCAGGTCCGCACTGGGGAAGACTTTGGCGACAGAGTGTGTGTGTGTGTGTGATTGTGTGGCCACTCCAAGCCACCCAACCCACCGTGGTACCACCTGGACAGTTCCTTCCCCCTTCGGACAGCGCCTCGCAAGACCGTCACTCCCGGACACTGTGAGACGAGATTTCCCCTCCACTCAAATTTTCTTTTATATTGTAAATAAGGTAGCAGTATTTCTGTAATCGATTTTTATTCTCACGGGTGTCTGATTTTATTATTTTTGATAACATTTAGGCTCCCAAGTTATTATTTTTATGTTCGGGAAGCTGTCACATAAGAGATGTTTATAATGTACTAAGCTGTACACTTTAGTTTTTTTAGCAATTCATAGTTTTTTTACTAATTCATAGTTTTTTTCTTCGCCGCCTCTGCACTTGCCGATTGAAATAAGTTCAAGTAAGTGTTCAAGCAGCGCTGTGTAAGTGTCCCTTTCTTTTGGTGTGACTGTGAACGTTGTCCTAGTGTTTGTTACGGGTGCGCTGTGTCCTCGTGCGTCGTGTTCAAGTACTGTTGTTTTTGCAAGTGGCATTTGTTAACCGTTTTCTTTTTTTTTTCTTTCGTAGTATTGTTGTTTTTTTTTCTCTTAGTTGTAGTTGTATTAAACTCGTTTTGTTGCAAAGCTGTGGGTCTCCCCTTCATTGGCAAGACTCCACCGAGGCGTGGACCTATCCTCTGGTCAGCACTCCTGTGTTTAAGCTGAGAATATCGGAAAGCCTGTGACGGAACTGGCGTCCGCAACAGGGCCTGGCTGACCATGGTGGAGACTTGCCTTTGGAGGGGTACAGCCCGAGAGGTGTGGCACGTGAAGGGTTGAGAGTAGGAACTGTGTGGTCTGAAGGAAATGTAGTTCAGCAGTTCGCTTGGCTGTGAGTGTTGGGTAGGCTAAAAATGGAGATAGAAAAACTCGTGGTCCTGGGACCAAACTAAAAAGGTGGATAGAGGAAGAAACTGCAAAACAAAGTGGGGAGAGAGCCCTAGAGCGAGAAGCTACCAAGGAAGCTACCAAGTGGGAACAAGAGGTGGCGAAAGCAGCCGCCGAGAGGGAGCTCGAGATACTTAGGCTGAGGCTAGAGCTCAAGAACAAGAGGGAGGGGAACCGCTCATCCGGAGCCAGAACTGACGGTGAGGGTCAGAGCGTTTTGAAGTTGGGTTTTAACAAGCTCTTACTCGCGCTCGATATAAGGAAGGACGGCCTCGGCACTTCTACAAGAAGGTTCGAGGGAGTCGCATTAAGCCAAAAGTGGCCAGAAAGGCAATGGGCCACCTCCCTTAGCACATGCCTCACGGTTTAAGCCCTCCGGTGATTGCCGCCCGCAGATGCTGCCGATAAATTCCGGAATGGGAAGCGAGTCGATGGAGAGACGGCCACTCAAGACGCCACCGCGGTGACCAGATTTTGAAGGTCTCCAGGAGCTAGTCATCACAGAGCAATTCTTAAAGGGCTGTCATCCAGCACTGGCCATCTACTTGAAGGAAAGGAAACAGCCACATCTGGATGGTCTGTTGGAGACGGCGGACCAATTTTTGGACGTGCAAGGTCATGGTAACTTAAAGAAAGCTGGGAAAGACGAAGCAAAATTCTCAGCGAAGAAAAGCAGCAAAGGAGGCAGGCCTCTGCAGCTTGCAATGAGGTGCTACTTCTGTAACAAGATAGAACAAAAAGCTGCGCAATGTCGCAATCCGTACAACATCAGACAGGTGCCCACATGTCGAAGGTGTGGCAGGAAAGGACGTAAGACTAAGGTCTGCCAGGGCCAGACAAAACCTCGGCCATCAGGCATCTATAGGAAGTATTCACTGGCGGCCATAGCTGTGTGCGCGACTGCTGAGCGCGTGCTGATGGCGAGCTTCCACAGTTCTTTTGTAACGTGCATTCCGCACCCTCAAGATTGCCGGTCTTAGCAGCCTATTAATGTGGGCTCGTTCTGAGCATGCGCTCTAGACAGCACCCACAAATATGGCGCCCAGTGAATACTCCTTATATGTCCCGACAAAACAGAAAGGATGAAAACATCATAGATGGTTTCGTGGAGCTGAAGGATGGTACAAAGATTTTGGTCATCAACGCGGTGATGGAACCACACCTTAAGTTTCTGGTCGAGGGAATGCCAGTCGTTGGGGCAACACGGGGAGTAGCACGGTCATTGTCAGAAGAGGATTGGTTGACGACGGCCGACTCACGGGAACAAAGAGGCCGGTGTATCTCGTCGACGGGACTGTGTAAATGCTTCCCGAGGCCCATGTCCATGTTAAAATGCCCTTATTCGACAGAGAACTTGAAGCCCTTCGCACGGACCTGTCCCTGTACTACTCGGGAATTTACCCGGCGCTAGAGAGCCAGACGGCCCTTCGATTGAGCTAGAGGTGAGGGACGATCCAATACCGACATAGCGAGTGCGGGAGGATGCAGCGGAGCGTGACGCAGAGAGCCAAGATGAGCCGGGACACGAAACCCATGGGGAAGTGGATGATCCCTGAATTCCGGCGTGCACCGTGGATACTAGGACCCAGAGAAAGACACAACAAACTGGATTGAAAAAGCTACACGTGGGCCTCAAATCTAAGGGCTGGCCATTGACATGCTGGAGTTTGCAAAGCAGCAAAATGAGGATGACACACTGTGCCCCTGCTTCAAGCAGGTTGGGGAGAAGGCCAGGGGAAGGACAACCACACTCACTTAATACAACAGGAGAGGTGCGGGGGCTTCTTTATCGACTATACCGGGAACTGTTGGGGAGAGAGACGTGGCAGCTCGTGATGCATCAGGCCCACCGAAAAATTGTGATCCAAGTTGCCCATGAAAGCATTATGGCGGGACACCTGGGGCAGGCGAAAACGAAGAGCCGTATCCTCGAAGAGTTTAGGTCGGGACTGGGCTCGGACATATGGCGGTTCGGGCTATCGTGTGACGTGTGCCAGCGAACGACACCGAAGTGAAAGGTCCCTCGCGTCCTCCTGAGTGGGAGCCTCTTATTAGATATCCTATTCTGGAGGGTTGTGATCGGCATCCTGGGACAGATTGCCCTGGCTTCGGGCCGAGGGAACCGGTGCATACTGCCAATGGCAAACTATGCGACTCGCTACCCAGACGTTGTGGCTTTGTCCAGCATTGAGACAGTGGCAGAGGCCCTAGTCGAGATGTTCGCGTGGGTCAGGATGCCGCGATAAATTTTAAGCGACCAGGGCTCAAATTTTAGCTCGGAGCTAATGAAAAAGATCAGCCGGCTTCCGTCGATAAGGCAGTTGCACACCTCCCCCTACCAACCCACAGCAAATGGACTGGTGGAGAAGTTCAACAAAACACTTAAAACTCGTGCTCAAGCGAATGTGCTCCAAAAGGCCCAAGGATTGGGACCAATACTTGGCCGCATTGCTGTACGCCTACCGGGAAGCGCCGCAGACGAGCCTCGGCTTTTTGCCTTTTGTGTTGTACGGTCGCCATGTCCAGGGTCCGCTAGCCAATCTGAGGGAGTTGTGGACCAATGCCGAGCTCTACGCAGAGCTCCGGACCACGTATGAGCACTTGCTTGACCTCAAACCGCCTCGAGGCGACGTGCAAGATCGCCCACGAGAAACTCGTGAGGCTGGGAGCTCGTTGCGCTCGGTACTACAACTGGAAAACCAAGAAGCGGAGTTTGCATCCGGGAGAGAAGGTGCTCCTACTGCTCCCCAAGGACAAGAAGCTTCTGCAGTGGAAGGGGCCCTTCCTCATGACGAAAGAAACAGGAGCGGTCGACTACAAGGTCTAGACAGCGACCGGCCTAAAGTTATTCAACTACAAGGTCTAGACAGCGACCGGCCTAAAGTTATTCCACGCTAACCTACTAAAGAAAAACAAGGAGCAGAGAATTAAGAAGGAAGACGAGCAACAGGCCTGCACGATTATCTCGCTGACGGAAACCGAAGATGACCAGCCGATTCCTCTTCCAGCATTCCAGAGAAAGGTCTCGGAGACGTGAGGGTTTCATTGAGGATCAGTTCTGAGCATAAATCGCAGCTCGACCGCGTAATGCGCAGTCACAAGGTCATTTTTTCAGACGTTCCAGGAAAAACCACATGGATACAGTGGGAGCTGAAATAGACTACTGATAATACCCACTGACTATTGGTATTGTATTGTACTGACAATACAATACCAATATCTACGTGCGACAATACCCACTGCCATTCGCGACCCAGACGAAGGTTGAGGAAGAGGCAGGAAATGATGAGGCTCGCGATAATAAAAAAAATCCAGCTCTGCATAAAACGCACCCGTTCTGCTCGCCAAGAAGCCAGACGAGACAAATCGGCTGTGCATTGACTTCAGACTTCTAAACGGCACCTTGGTCCCAGACTTCGAACCCGTGCCATGAGTCGACAC